TTTTTTTTTTTTACAATAGATAAACTTTATAAATTATATAACTGGTAATACATTAAATTTTCAAACATTTCTTGTAACTTAGCTGGTTGGAAAGTGTATATTCATTTTGGAGGTCCTGATTTCGAATCTCATCTCAACCGATTTATTGTGAAATTTTTTAGTTGTACAATTTTTACAAAAAATAACGCAATAGAGAATTGTACCATTATGACACTTAGAGCTTGTTTGGGAGGAATTAAAATCCAATTAAAATTGAAAATATAATTGTTATTGGGTCTCACTCGTCTAATAAAAGTCAACAATAACGACTTGTTTTTCAATTTTAATCCGATTTTAATCTATATCAAACACACTCTTGAAGAACTTTAACACTAAACTTACCAGAATTGTATATGTTAAAGTTTAATGGTTTTAATGCAATTGTAAAAACGTTCATTTGTTGAATTCGAACATGTGACCTTTCCTTAGGATAATGAAGGTTTGACCATTATGACACTTATTGAACTTTGATACTAAAATTTTGAAAATAACATATGTTAAATTTTATTGGTTTTAATGTAATTTTAAAAATTCGAACTCGTGCCCAATAATAAACACGAAATTAAAAAAGAAAATTTGTACACAAATTAACAATTTAGGTGAATAATTGAAGAAAAATCTCAAAGTTTTTATTCAATATTTATAAAAAGCCTTGCAACACAATCATAGCACCTTATTTATACAAAACTCCTAACTAGACTTTTAAAACAAAACAAATCCTAGAAAACTTATATTATATGAATAAACCTCTAATAAAAATAAAACTTCAACTCTAATTTGATATAAATTCTAATTAAGATAAAATTCTTACTAAACATAAAATGATAAAAGACTAATTAATTAACAATAAAAATAAAATATTAAATTATACGAGCTCGCTGACATCGTTCTTTTCGAATTGAAAAAGATTCGTTCTTGAATCTTGTGACACCTTGTAGGGGGAGTGGTTATATGTCAATGAACTAAATATTACTCATATCTTGATTATGAGAAAAACTAGAGTGATTAGTTGACTTTTTTCATTTATATCGTATTGTATCCCAACAAATTCACTCCAAACATTAGAGTCATTGCATTGCACAATTTTGGAAATTTCAAAGGCTTCAAGAAGTATAATTGATCTCAAGAGTTGTTCAACCATTCAATTTATACTACAAATCGACCATTCAAGTGTGCAAAATATTTCATATGAATTATTGCGGTTTCAACTTAATAGCAAAAGTTGTCCAAAATCGTTATAAGGGACTAAATTTGCTATTTATCAAAGAGTAAGGACAAAATATGACAAATAATTATTTAGAGACAATATCGTTATAACTTTGGCTAAATACATAATTTACCCTTAAGAAAGTACCAGTTCACTCACCAAACTAACAATGATTTTGGATAGAATCCATTCAAAAGAACCAATTGTATCAAGAATGCAAAGTTTTGAAAAAGTTATTGCCAAGGTTTAAAAGATTGAACAAATAGACAAAGGTTTGGAATCATTTGCAACAATTTCTCAATTGAATGAGAGATTATCATAGCAAGATATATATAAAGCTTCGTTTTTGTAATTGAAAGGTTCTGTTAGCAAAATTCCAAGTGGAAATGTTCCAAGTTTTTTTTTTTTAATAATTATTTTTAACTATAAAGCCAGCCGGCTGTTGATGTAGCCTTTACAAATTTCATCACCAAATGTAACTTTATGGTCATCATGTTGGACACTTAGAGAATAAGGTAGTCATCCCTTACATCACCTCCTCTGGTTTGGCCCTTCATCAAAATTCTGATTATGGGCAGAATAATGCAATTTATGATTTAATTTGAATAAATAATCACGTCTTCTTCAAATAATTTGTTTTATTTAGATAAGATAACTACATTGTATTATAATTAATAAATGTTATAAAAGCCATCATGCCATCTATTTATGAATATTATGCACATATTACACTTTTTTATAAAAATAAAAAAAAATCGATTTGTGCGTGAAGGACCGTGTTGAAAATTAATGAGTAAGCAAGCGCATGTTTGTCTATGCTTAAAAAGTTCTTAATAAATAAGTTTTAGAATAAATAATTTTTTTATTAGTAAGTTTTATTGAAATAAGAGTTACTTTCAAAACAAATAATTTTTCTAAGAAAGTAATAGACAAAAAGTTAATTAAAAGGAA